GGGGATTCCAGAGTCAACTCTGAGGATGGAGATGGGGATCTGCAGGCAGACATAACTTGATCTGAGTTGGTCTGGGATTCAGTGTTTCTTTCTTGGAGTCCAGTACCCAGGGGAGCCTGGTAGATTCCCAGCAGGTGCTCAGGAAGGAACTTTGGTAGTCGGGAGGCTGGCAAAGGCAGGGGTGGGGTGTGGGGCTGCAGGTGTGTGTGTGTGTGAGTGTGTGTTTGTGTATGTGAGTGTGTGTGTATGTCCTGGTCCAGAACCTCATCACCTTGCTACCTCAAACCCAACACCATGAAGCCAGGAGGGGAGGGAAGGAGGTGCCTGCCCTTGTAGAGGGTCTTGGGACAAACAAGAAGGCTGATGGTGGCTGAGAAGCAAGGACTGGTTTGTCCCCTGGGCAGGGCAGTTGGGACATAAGGTCCCTGACCCGCTGCTTGCCAGCTGGGAACACATTAAGTTGATGCTGAGTCGGGGAGTCGTTGATAACTCTTCCCCAGTCTCTGCTGGCTGAAACCACAGAGGTAGCAGGAGTTGTTTGTCTCTCAGGGGGCAGCACATGACCTCATGAGAACTACACGGGTCCCTGTGGGGCCTTCTGGTGCCATTGTGTCCTCCAGTGGCTGCAGAGGAGGGGTAGCCATGGAAGTACTTGGGGGGGAGAGGCGGTCTGCTCTCACATCTCAGGACAAGACAGGAGGACACCTGCGGGAGCACTCCCAAGGACAGTGCCTTCATAGGGTTTCTCAGTATGTAGCCCTGGCTGTCCCGGGACTCGCTCTGTAGATCAGGCTGGCCTCAAACTCAGAGATCCACCTGCCTCTGCCACCCACACAAAGGGATTAAAGATGAGCGCCACCACTGCCCAGCTGTAGTTTTTTGTTTATATGTGTGTGTGTATCACAAATTTAAAACATTTAAAAGTTCAGTAGGGGGCAAAGACCGGCCTTCCTGGTGTTCAAAGAAGCCTAGGTGACTGAGAGTAACAAGCATGGGCTGGTTGCAAACCCTGGGAAGCCCCAGACGCCACTGGCTGTGCTTAAATACAGTGTCCACCAGGGGGCGCCCAAGGCCAAGCTAATCAACCCTTTTGAGGCTTGTTGAATGAAATTCGAATTCCTCCATGGAGGAACCTTTGCTCAAAAACTTGTGACATTAGGGTCATGGCTGCAATCTGGGGAACACAGCTGACATGGGCTTTCCTGTCTTTTTTGTTTTGTTTTTTAAAATGAAGTATCACTCCAAGAAACTTTGGTCTTTATGCCAGGGTTTCTTCAGGAGAGAAGGGGGGAGAGAGAGAGAGATAGAGATAGAGAGATAGAGAGATAGAGATAGAGAGAGAGATAGAGAGAGAGAGAGAGAGAGAGAGAGAGAGAGAGAGAGAGAGAGAGAGAGAGAGAGAGAGAGAGAAGGAGGAAGGGAGGGAGGGAGAGCACTTTTATTATTATTTTTTTTGGTTGTTCGAGACAGGGTTTCTCTGTGGCTTGGGGGCTTGGGAACCTGTCCTGGAACTCGCTCTTGTAGACCAGGCTGGTCTCGAACTCACAGAGATCCGCCTGCCTCTGCCTCCTGAGTGCTGGGATTAAAGGCGTGCACCACCAACGCCCGGCAAGAACATTTTTGTTGAGTTATTACTCACATATATAATTCCTCTGTTGAAGGGGTACACTCTGTGTGTGCGTGTGTGCGTGTGTGTCTGTGTGTGCATGTGTGTGCATGTGTGTGCATGTGTGTGCGTGTGTATGCATGTGTGTGTGTGTGTGTGTGTGTGTGTGTGTGTGGGCATGAGGGCATTGTGTGGACATCACAGGGTGTCTGTCCTTGCCTGTCACCTCGTTGGGGTCTGTGCTGTCCCCACTGTGCCAGCTGGCCTGTGCGTGTCCTCTTCCTTCTGTCTCAGTCGAGGGGTGCAGGAATTTCAGGGGCACCCCGCCACACTCAGCTTTGCACGGATTCTGCTTGTTCCTCAAAGAGTTGAACACGGCTATCCTGTGATCCCGACGTTGGACCTCTGGGGATCTTCTCAAGCCTGGGAAGCACTGTGCCTCTGTCTCTGTGGGTTTGTCTATCCGTGCATTTCACAGCCGTGGGCCTCGCGCTGGGGGACTCTGCTTCTCTCTTCCTTCACTCGTATCACACTTTCAAGGCTCATCCCACGCACTGGGTGTCAGGATGCCATCCCTTTTCATGGGTGAGTAATATTCCACCTACAGATGGCCTTTATGTATTCATTCATTCATGGATACTAAGTTGTTTATCACTTTTAGATATTGTCTATAGTGCTGTTATAATATCTGTGCGTGATTTTGCTTGACCGGTTCAACTTTAATGATTTCCAAACATTTATGTCTTTACCTGTTTAGTGTGTGAGTATACACAGCACACACGTGGAAGTCAGAGGACAACGTGCAGGACTCAGTTCTCGGTGTCTATCGGTAGGCCTTGGGGCTTGAACTCTGGTCCCCAGGCTTAGCAGGAGGCCCCTTTAGTTACCGAGCCATGTTGCTGGCCCCTGGCTTGCTAATTTTAAAAGGAAGTGTAAAGTTACCAGAAGAAGAAAATCTCCCTTGGCCAGAGGTAGAAAGAGCTTTATAGCCCGGATCTGGAGTTTCCCTTCGCTCTCTCATCTCAGTAAGAACCGGGGTGAGAGGTGGGAAGGAGAGGAGGGAATCCTTTCTTCAGAGTGTAACTGACTCAGCTTGGACCAGAGGCCGGGAGTCTGCGTTTGCTGCCTTTGAGGCGCAGTAGTTGGAGCCGCTCCCCTCTGTGCACCCTGCAGCACTGAGGGATGGATTGTTGGTTCCCGGGAAAGGGGAGGCCTTGGGTTGCAGCCTCGTTCGTTACTTTCTGGGGCCTGAGACTCCTTACTTAGTCCACCAGACCCTGTGCCTGCCTCCCGTTATTGGAACCCATGGGGCGGAGAATGGCTTTCTGGATGAGATGGGACCCTGTGCGCTGGCTGGGAGCCTATGACCCGACCCGGATGTCCCAGGATGCTGGAGAGCTGGCAGGCGGTCCCGGTCCCGTCCCGTGGCTCAGGATCCCTGACTTGGCTGTTTGGGTTGAAGGTGCTTGGGGCAGGGACAGAGAGTTGTCGAGGGTGACACAAAGGGGCTGCTGGGGGAAGCAGGCGGAGAGGATGCAGGCTCAGGCAGGTGGAAGCCTCCCAAAACACACGCTCTCCAGTCTGGCCCAAACCGAGTCTGCAATGGGCCCGAGGAGGAGTGTTTGCACAGAAAAGCACTCTGGGGGATGAGAGGATGCTTTCTTATCAGGGGATTTTTCTCTTGGGCCTTCCCCTGTGGAGTTCGCTGATAACTTTGGAGGGAGTTTTGCTGGGAAAAGGCAATAAAAGCGATAGAGAGGCCAGAGGGCCCGCTGATGAGGCAAGATGAGAGGACTTGGCCTCTGGGTTGATTTAGGGGGGGGGGTGAGCTGGCAGGTGTTAAGGTTCCCAGATGGGAGGAGGAGTTGAGAAAAGTCTGGGAAGAGGATGGAGCGGGTAACCAAGTGACTCTGTGGAAAGGAAGCTGTAGGCTGACATTCAAGATGACGCCTGGGCACAGAGCCCTCGTAGGAGAGTAATGGCCCCTCTGGGGGGCTCTGGAGATCTCCGGGGCTTGGTAGAGCTAACATTTTATAAGATCAAGGCCTTAGGAACTGCTGTGGGAGGCGATGCCTGGAGGCTCTCCATCTCTGTTCACCCAGGCACACTGCCTCCTTCCGGAGCTTATTTGGAAGCTCTGGTCGGGTTCGCAACCCCGACCTTCGGGACTGAGCGCAGACCCTGGCCTGTTGGTGCAGGCCAGAGGTGAGCTCCACAAGGCCAGCTGGGGGTGACAGTGGGCTGTGGTCTCTGGACCAGCTTGATGAGCAGGCATCTGACCAGTTCTTCTGAGCTGGCCTGCCTCCCTCCTCCCGCTTCTTTAAATTATCAAGTTCTATTCTCGTGTAAGGCGCTGCTGTTGTGTGGAGGTCAGAGGGCAACTTGTGGGAGACCTACCTTATGTGGGTCCTAGGGATGGAATTCAGGTCATCAGGCTTGGTGCCAAATGCCTTTATCCAATGAGCCATCTGGCCGGCCCCTCCCTCTCCCTTTTGGATAATTCTTGCTATGCAGCCCAGGCTGGCTCACAACTATCTCTAACTCCCCGTCCTCCCGCCTCAGTCCACTGAGTACTAGGACCACAGCTGTAAGGTACCGCTTGTATTAGCGGCTTCTCTGTCGCTGTGATAACGCGCCCCAGTACGGAGGGGCGCTGCTTACTGGCTTGTGGTCCCCATGGCTTGCTCAGCCTGCTTTCTTCTAGAACCCAGGACCAGCGGCCCAGGGATGGCCCCACCCACAATGGGCTGTCCGTGTTCCCGCCTCCGTCAGTCGCTAATTGAGAAGATGCCCTACAGGCTTGCTCAGGGTTTGATGTTGTGCAGGCAGTTTCTCAATAGAGGCTCCCTCAGCAGGGCGGTGGTGGCGCACGCCTTTAATCCCAGCACTCAGGAGGCAGAGGCAGGCGGATCACTGTGAGTTCGAGGCCAGGCTGGACCGACAGCCTCCAAAACAGAGAAACCCTGTCTCGTAAAACCAAAAAAAAAAAAAAAAAAACAGGCTCCCTCCTCTCAGATGACTCTAGCTGGTGTCAAGATGACATACAACTCATACAACTGAGCCAGCACGGCCCTGCACCCCACTGGGCCCAGCTCTTTTACTTCTAGAATCCCGGGCTCGTGAGGTCAAGCTGCACGCAGTTATCAGGCAGCTTTGTGTCTCGTATCCTTGGTCTATCTGCTGTTACTAGGAGGCTGACTTTCAGAGCAGTCGTGATGGTCTGGTTGTGTTCAAGCTGGGGCGATGAGGGGTGGCTCACAGAGGAGGAGAAGCTGGGGGAATACTCTCAGACTTGAGATCTTGGGTGGCCAATCCTACAGTCTGGGAAACACGGAAGGGGAGGGGTCCGGAGGGATCAGTGTGACAAGTGCTTGTAGTCTGTCTCTCCCAGGCTGCAAGCACTGATGTGTGTCTGCAGGGGGACAAGGACCCTCTGGGAGGGCCAAGGGAATAGAGCATCGTCAGACGGACCAGCAAGCACGACAGCATTCTGTTTATGGAGACTTGGGCAGAAGTGAGGAGAGCATCCAGACTCCATGGGGATCCTCAGAAGGTTCCAGAACTGGGGACACTTGATTTGGATCTTAAACAAACAAAAACACAAGCCAGTGTTGAAAAGGGAGGAGGAAGAATGTTCTGGAAGAACTCATCAGAGAGACACAAATTGAGCGGAGAGGATGCTAAGTGGGGCCCGTGGTTTGGAGGAATGCCTGATTTGATTGGCAGAGATAAATGGAGACTTGTGCCTGGATTTGAGCCTTTCGGCTGTGGCCACTGCCAGGGGCCAGTCGCCCCATTTCTGGCTTTGGAGAGCCCTGTAAGCTGAAGGTGAGTTCTGTGTCTTTTCTAGTGGTTGGGGAAAGTTCTTTTGAGGCTAATAATTCATGAGTATGATATAAAATCCAAATTCAAATCTGCAACAATTTTTGGCGACAAGATGACTTGACTTAAAGTCATCTGGAAAATGGATGAGGCACAGCTTTGGGCATGTCTGGGAGGGCATTTCCGGGGAGGACTGCCTGAGGGGCAGATCAGCTGTTAGCTAGCTCTGCTATCCAGTGACCTGGGAGCCCGGACCAGACAGCTGAGAAGGGAGCCAGCCCGCCGAGCACTGCTTTACCCATTTCTCTTAACAGAGGCTGTGTGGCCTGACAAAGGGAAACTTCTAAGTAGCTCATCTTGTGTGTGTGTGTGTGTGTGTACTTGTGCATGTCTGATGTGTGCAAGTGTGCAGGTGTCAGAGGTCAACACAGGTGTCTTCCTTGGTCTCTCTCTGCTGCTGTTTGAGGTAAGGTAGGTCTTCCAATGCAGAGCTAGCTAACTGAGCCAGTCTGGCCAGCCAGAGCTTCAGAGATCTTCCTGCGTCTACCTCCCTGGCATTACAGACCTTTCTATGTGGGGGTTAGGGGCCCAAACGAGCTCCTTGTGCTTATACGACAAGCACTTTACTGACTTGGCCAAGCCTCCCAGCCCCCAGTGACATAAAATTTGGGACACTGGGGACCCTCTGGTGAATAAGACAGAAGCTGGGGCTCCGAGGGACCTGCTTTCCTGAAGTCTCCTGTGTGTAAGGGAAGAGACCTTTTGGAGTGTGACCACTCCTTCTAGAATTTCACCTGTCCCTCCTCTCATGACAGTCAGCAGTCAGGAGTGAGCCCGTGACCTCCGAAGGTCCCACACCCCATCTGGAATGCCCTCTCTGGCCTGCTGTTTATGACAGGGCCATCAGGTGTCCGTTCTATGCGTTCCCCGTCTCTGGTAGAACGAGTGTACCCTTCACCTAGAGTCTGAGTCACTGTTTTGTTTTTCTCTTCAGGAACAAGCTGTGCCCACAAGGACAGGTGTCAGGTCTTGTTTGCTGGATGGGGGAAGCCACCACACTGTTCCCAAGGGATGCATGTGGTTCTGGAAGCTGCTTCTAAAGACCTGTAAACAGAGGGGGAGCTGTCCTGCTTGGGAGTCCATGACACCCCTGGGATCCCATGCTGGCCAGGCTGACCTGAAGGCTTTCTGCATGAGTCCTGTGAGATCTCGCTGAGTGCTCTCTGGAACCAGGATACCCGTGTCACGTGCATGGTGCCAGAGGACACTCTGCCATTCTCCGGTGGCCTGACAAGCCAAGAATGACTTTTGAGCAGCTAGAACCATCGCCCCCCCCTGCCCCCAGAGGCAACCTTGATGGTGGCTAAGAAAGAGGATTTGGAGCTCATGTAAGTTTGCTCTACAACTTTGCCACTGGTGACGTCTCTGCACCCCAGCTTCCTGCGCTTTTGTAAGATGTGACAGTGGCCACCCCACCTCGTAAAGTCTTGGAAGAAGCATAAAGGAGCACGATTGTGTGAAAGGCCCTGGCTCCCTGCTCTCCCCGTGTCCAGGGCGTCCTTTTCATGGGCTCCCTAGCGTCTTGGTTGTCTTGTTCTCGGGTACAGGATGGCTCTGCTGTAAAGGCCTGTGTCCGCATGCTACTGAGCTGAGCACCCCGATCCTAGTGGGCTCTGGATGAATACTGGATCAGTGAATGAAACTCCTCCCCTGGCCAGTCAACAGGAGGTTTCCGGAAAAGGGAATCCCAGAGCAGTGCCCTCCCCTGTGATTCCCGGTGGTCTTTCAAAGCTGGACTTTCCACAGTTTCCTTCCTGCTGTGGGTGTGGCTGGGAGTCTGCAGGGTCTTAGAACAAGGACCCTGGGAGAACAGGGCAGTGTGAGGAGCAAGGGCTTCAAAAGCCAGGAGGTGGAGGAGGGCAGCTCCTGGAGGACACCGGCTTCCAAATCAGGACCGAAACCACTTTGCCAGTGGTCTTGAAGTGCGGCTTGGAAAAGGGAGGTCAGTTCTTTTGTTGGAGCCCTGGGAAGGAGTCGAGGGTTGGAATTCTGGGTGGAGAGTTAGGAAAACACTCTACCACTGAAGTGTAGTCCCAGCCACAAGCCTTCTTTCAAAGTAGAGTTCTAGGCATTTCATTGATTGATTGATTCATTCATTGATTCATTCATTCCTTCAACCAACGAACACATACTGAGGTTCTAAGCATCAGACACAGATTTTGCCCTGAAGGATCCCAGTTTGGGGGTAGGGTTGGACTATGGATGCAGACAGATAATTACAAGCAGCAGGCAGGTGGAGGCCGAGTCTGAACCACAGCTAAGGGTGTGAGGAGATCACAGCCATGGCTTCCTGATGGAGGAGAGGTGGGGCTCTGGTTCAGGAGGCTCATAGGAAGGGTAAGGCCTGAATGGATGGAGGGAGCTTGAAAAACTCTTGGGGGCAGTGGGGAAATGGGAAGAGCATTCTGGGAAGAGGAGATGAGAGAGAGAGAGAGAGAGAGAGAGAGAGAGAGAGAGAGAGAGAGAGAGAGAGAGAGTACATGCAGAATTGGGCAGCTGGTGTGTTAATGAGATGCACGGGCTACACGGCCTGAAAGTTGCAGGGGGAGATAGGGAAGCCAGGTAGGGCTGCGATTTAATTCAGTGGCAGAGCATTTGCTTAGCATGTTCAAGGCCATTGATCTGTTTTGAGACGCAAACAGTCTTCACTGGCTCCGCCAGGAATCCACTGGTCCTGAGACCTCCGGGAGTTTGCTGATTTTCTTTTCCTGCTGTTTCTGTAGCCTCCTGGGTTGCTTCTTCTGGTAAATGGAATCCTGTTTTTCACTGCCGGCGGACGTCATAAGCCACGTGCCCAGATGAGCAAACTTTCTGGTTAGGCTTCAGCGCTACAACCCTGAGGACAGCAGGGACCACATCCACTTTTTCTTGCCCCATCTAACACCTCGAGGTGTTCCAGGGCAGTCTGGCCTTGCTCAGGCTTGCAGGACAGCATGCAACGCACTGTACAAACACACACACACACACACACACACACACACAACACACACACACACACAACAAAAAACCACAGGGCCTGGAAGTGATAGGAACCCTGAGAAGGGTGTTCGTCTGCTGTGGAGAAAGGCCGGGAACTTTCTTTGTTGATACTGTCAAATGTATAACGACCACCTTGTGGTCACAATGGCCACCAGGCAGCCCAGAAGATCTCTTTGGCTCTCCGTGCTAGAAGCTGCCCCTCCACCATCTTTGTTAAAGGGCCTTGCTGCTTTGTGTAATACTAAGGCAGGCAACTACCGCCACCTCGGCCTCTTGCAACAGCAGGTGCGTGCTCCATCTAGCTGACACGCCCCATGCAGCTCACACACAGAGGATGCTATACGTTTCTCAAGGCAAACCGCCGAAGATTGGTTCCTCTTCAGGCAGAGCTGGATCCAGTTACCCACGTGAGTAACAGTGATTGCTCCCTGTGCTGGTGGATAAAGGTGGCTGCTGCCAAGCCTAACAACCCGAGTCAGCTCTCTAGAATCCACACGGCAGAAGGAGGAGAAATTGACTCCTGTAAGTTGTTCCCCAACCTCCACGTGCACACCACAGCATGTGCACACCTGTGCATTCCCAAGTGTTCTCATGCACACACACACACACACACACTCAGAGGCATGGCGCTTGCCTAGTACATGTGAGGCCCTGAGTTCTAGTCCCGGCACTCCCGGAAGCTTGCTGATAAGGGATCCAGATAGTGCCGCTTCATGGGCTGTTTGGGCAATGGCCCTGAGGCTGTCTCCAATGAACAGGGTGACTTTTGACAAGACTTGAGGTGCGAGCTGCTCTCAGCGCAAGGGCGAGGCATCTGTGTGGAAGGAAAGGGCTGGAGGATTGTTCTCTAAGGTGAAGTGGGGGTGTGGCAGTGGGGGTGCTAGCCGGTGGAAGGAGGGCTGTCCAGTGAGTCTGCCTGAATCAGACAGAGCAGAGACTCCAGAGAGGCTGACTGTCGTGATGTGTGTGTGTGGGGGTAGCTGCTCAATTAAGATGGGTTTCCTTTAGGGGTGATGATAATCTTTTGGGACTAGATGGGGTGATGGCTTGCAGGACGCTGCAGATCATGTCAGATGCAACTGAACTGTTCACCCTGTGCGCTTTCTGTTTTTCTTTGACTTTGGTGTTCCTCAGCGTCAAACCCAGGGCCTCATGACTAGAGTCAGCACCAAACGACCTACTTTAAAATGGTGGATTTTATACCAAATCTCATCTCAATACACAAGAGATCATTTTTCCTTCCTCATCCCAGGCATCTTGGGACCATTTGTGGTTTTTCTTTTTCTTTCCCTTATTGCTGCTTGGGACTCACACTGGGTTTTAGCCAGCAGGGGCCATACACAGTAACGCTGGGTGTGGCCCTGGCAAGGCCGATGCCCACTGCAGGGACACGGAAATGCCTGGGTGTTTTTTTTTTTTTTTTTTTTTTGTTCACAGGCAGAGACCTGTACTTTCATGAGACCTGGTGAGCGAACCCCAGCGTGGTGCCAAGGACATCTTGTTCAGAGTTGAGGTGGCACTCGGGGCTTCCCTGGGGCCACTTGCAAGCAGTGGCACCTGTTTTCTTTCTGGCTTTGGGGCCGGGAGGGGCTGTCTCTACTCACGGTTCTCACTGCTCCAGCTGGCTGAGGACACTGGAAGTTCTGGTTTCTGTCCTCACTTGGCACTAGGGGCGCTTGCTGAGGCCACCATGAGAAGGTCTGGCCGCACTGGAGTTTTGAGGGGAACAGGAGGTTTATCTCATTCTCTGAAGCTGTCCATGTTCTGCACACTGGAGTCTGGGCAGAGCCCAGAGCCGTCTGTGGCTCCCTGAAGGAGCACACTGGCACCTCCAGGAATGGGTGTTTCTCTTTCTTAGATGAACACCCCCGCCCCCCGCCCCCCGCCCCCCGCCCCCCGCAGCCACCAGTGGCAGGACTTCTGGGATCATGCTGCCTCATCTGGTGAGAACATGGAGATCATTCCCTTTGCCTGAGCTGTGCACTCGGTTCCTGCTTCAACCTGGAGGAGGGGCGGTCTGTGGCTTCACATCTAGCCTTGGTAGAGGTTTATGGGATTCCTGGGCCACCGGCACTAAGTCGCCTGGGCCAACTCCACCATGCAAAGTCATGGGCAGGCTGGCTCAGAATCTCCCTGTGGTTTTACAGGCTCTCTGAGGATTTGTCTCCACACTAAGTGAGAGAAAGACTAGGGTCTGGGACCACACCCAGCTCCTGAATGCGGGGACCCCTCTGACTTCCAGCCCCACCTGGTGGTTACAGGGTAGAAATTCTCTCAGGGGTTGATTCTGAAAGAGACAGTACAGGGATCCTGGGAGGCCTGACTTCAAATCCTGACCCTACCACTTCACCGAGGGACTCTGGACGGGCCACTTCCCTTCACGGACCCCTAGAATACTTAGATGTAAAATGGTCCTGAGATTCCTAACTGTAGTTGTCCCCCCCCCAGTCCAAGGTCTCTCGGGAGCTCAGACTATGACAGGGGAACGAGCTGGGCATGCCTCAGGCTCTTCTCTAGCACATGAAGTATCAGTAGGCTGGGTCTAGCCTTGGGTAAATCCATCTTATAAAGCAACAGCCTTGGCCTAAGCTACAACATTTTGAGTATAAACTGAGTATAAATTAAAAAAAAATGACTCCACATTTTAATAGCAGTAAACCCAGCTTCTAGCACCAGGAGGCATGAATTGGTAGTTATTTATGCCAATGGATAGGGATATCTGAGAGTGCATCCAGACATACCAGAAACCCCCAAGACACGGGAGCTTTTCACTCAAGCTAGATGGAGGCCCTCACCTGAAACTCTAAGAGGAGCACACCCAGACAAACGTGCAGGCATGTTGACTAGTCCCTGGCCTCTCGTCTTGGGCCTTGTCCATGAAAGTTACCACAGCAAAGGGCTCTTGCCTGTGCCCCTCCCTAGCTCAAACACAGTTCCTCCTGCTTGTAGTACTCAGTCACTTCAAAGGGACCCTGTGACAGCTCCAAGCCTTCAGGTCCCCTGCAGACCTTGGCTTTGCCCTCAATGTCTCTGACCCGTGCTGCCCCTGTTAACCCTTTTTTAGACTTTCCGTATGTGTTGTTTTGTGATATGCGGTCTGAGAGTTAGCAACTTAAGGCTGGAACCAAGCAGCCCGGGATTGGCAGCCAGCTACCAAGGGAAGCTGGGATTACCTGGCAAACTGCAGATGACAGACCTGACTTGGCTTGTGAATTTCTTACTAATTAATCCATGTTGACTTTGAGGACTGGCACAAATGTCTGTGACCTGTTTCTGAAACAGGGCCTTTGCAGATGTAACTGGAGATCTCCAGATGCAACCATCTTGGATTTGGGTGGGCCCTATGTCCCTTCACTGGTGTCTTCATATGAAGACGACTGGACCCGGCAGGATGAAGAGAGGAGACGAGGCCAGCTAAGCCCGAGGCAGGGAGAACAGGGTCATGGACTGAGGAAACTGGGCTACTAGAGGCTGGAGAGGCCAGAGTGGCTTCTCCCCAGAGTGTCTCAGGGAAACAGACCTGCTGTACCTTGACTTTGGCCTTCTGGCTTGCACTAGAAGAAATACATTTCTGTTTTTTTCAGACACCAGTTTCTGGTGATTTGTGCTGGTGGCAGCATCCCAGAGAGGGAGCTACCCTCCCTATGGGCAGCTGTCACTCAAACATTTGCCCTAGAGCACACAGCAGATGCTCACTAAATTCCTGTGCTGCTGTCCCTCAGCATACCATGGGCAACATCAAGGCAGCCACGAGACCTTTCATGGGACAGCCTGTGACCCTGCGGGGGACTTGGGTATCACAAGGAACACCCTGGGACTCCAGGGGCGGTTGTTTCTGCTGACATGGTGTTTTGCTTAGCATTCCTGGCTGGAGCATTGGAAGGATAGAGCCAGAGGGAGGGGATGGAGATTGCAGCTGGGGAGGGCAGCAGCAGGGCTGGGGCCGAGGCCTTCGAGAGGAATGCTTACCACCCTGAGTCATGGCGTGCAGGCCAATGGCCGTTTGCTGACACATCACACCCCAAGGGAGGACAGCAGTGACCTCATGCTGGTTGTCAAACACTCAGCATCCCCTCCCAGCACTGCCCAGTGCTTGAGTACTGCCCAGAGGGAGCTGTCCCCACCCCACCCCTGCACAGCTTTCTGAGTTCACCCCTCCCCTGCACACATAGGCCAACAAGCAGGACAAGCAGACCTCCGCGCCAAGACTTAAGATGCTTTTGGGGCGAGGTGAATGGTTTCCACTTCCCCAAGGGCAGTGGGATCATAAACCCTGGAATATGAGCTGGCGCAGCTGCCGAGAGCAAGCCCTCTGCAGGAAGCTCTGGAGGACTCATCTCTCCTGCCTATACAAATGATGGCTTACAGATGGGGAAACTGAGGCACGGAGGCTCTAAGGGCTTCACATACACACGCGCGCACGCACACACACACACACACACACACACACACACGCACGCACGCATGCACGCACGCACGCACGCACGCACAGAAAGGGTATCCTGGAATAGGAGCCTGGTCTGGGACCAAATCTTCTGTAAGCCCTGGGTCAGGCAGGGCAGAGTTAGCCTCCAGGTTTCAATCTTTAAAAACCTTCTGTTTTCTTTCTTTTCTTTTTCTTTTTTAAAAATTTTTCAAGACAGGGTTTCTCTCTGTAGCCCTGGCTGTCTTAGAACTCGCTCTGTAGACCAGGCTGGCCTTGAACTCAAAGACCAGTCTGCCTCTGCCTCCTGAGTGCAGTGTTTAAAGGCGTGCACCACCATCATCTAGCTTTCTTTCTTTTTCAAAATTAAAGATTAATTTTAAAGTGTGTGTGTGTGTGTGTGTATACACATGCGTGCCAGTGCCCATAGAGGCCAGAAGAGAGCGTTTGGATCCCTCGGAACTGGAGTTACAGGTGGCTGTGAGTCTCCTGACCTCCTGGGTCCCGGCACCCAAACTCTGGTCCTCTGCAAGAGCAGCCAGTGCTCCTAACTCTGAGCCATCTCTTGGCCTTTGCTCTGGGGAGAGAGGTGTCAGCATGTAGTAGTGGGGCCTGAACCCAGAACCTCACAGGTGCCAGGCAAGGCCTATGCCTCTGAGTCACATCCCCAGGTCCAGCAATTTCCCCAGGTCATAGATGGATTTGGGGTCTTTCTCAATGACCTTGAGCTAGGATTTTGGTGGAGTCCATGATGACAGGACATGTAGCATCCAACATGGAATCCTGAACATCCAGGCATCTTGAAACCCTAACCGGCCCCCCATCCACCCAGGAGAGGGTTACAGACGTCACTACAGCTGAGCCAAGTTGGTCCTCAGACCTTGACAGGGGATCTGGAACTTGGGCAAGACTAGCTGGCAATCCCTAAGCTCCTGCTTATTTATTTTGCCATCATAACTTGAAGCCAATATTTGAGCATCACCTAGGCAACAGCCCAGATCTCCCAGCCATTGGCCCCCATCCAGCCCTACACGCTTGGGATGAGGGCAAGGGGTGGAGCAAAGAAAATGAGTCACCCCCACCACCGTCACACACCACCTGGGAAAACAGTGACCCAAAAAACAAACCTTGGTTGCTTGTACAGAGAAAACTGTTTTTTTCCGCGTGGTCCTATGGCAGAGCGCTCTGAACACCAGTGGGACAGTCACTCAGGATCGGTCAACTGTTTTTAATTGTCGTTGTGCTGGTTAGCATTGCTGGCTTTCTGAAAAAAAAATAGTCTATCAAAGTAATATGTGGGTGAAAACTGTACAGACTGTTAAGTGTGCAACTCTAGAGAGCTGTGTGAATTTCCCCAGCAGAACCTATGCTTAATGCACCTGTAATGCTCGGGCTGTGACCAGCCCTTGGGAGATGCTGGACCCCCAGGGCCAGAGACGTTATCCTAACTTCTCACCAAAGCCTTGTGTTTCTGTTCTTTATATAAATGGAATTATGCATTCTCTGTTCTAAGTGAGTTGAAGCCAGCCATGTTAACCAGTTTGGGCCACACTTCTCACTCCCTCCTGTTCAGGGACCAGAGGACCAACAGGGATGGAGTCACAGTGTGTGTGTGTGTGTGTGTGTGTGTGTGTGTGTGTGTGTGTGTGTGATCTGACGTCAACTAACAAACGGAATAGGGCAGATGTGGCTTTGGGAATGTCATTAAAGCACTTGCTGAACAACCAAGGGGGACCAAAGTTTCAATCCTCAGAGCCAGTCTAAGTGCTGGGTAGGTACAATGGCTGGCCTGAAATTCCAGCATTTTGAAGGTGGAGATGGGGGATCCATTGAGCAAGAAGGATAGAGGAAGACTCCCAATGTCAGCTTCGTGTCTCCACACACGTTTGTACTTACGTGCATTCAGACGTCCACACACACACACACGTGTACATGTGTGTGCGTGTGTGTGTGTGCGCGCGCGTGTGTGTGTGTGTGTTGACGCCTTGTTGGTGGGCAGCAGGGACTGCAGCAGCAGCAGCAGCATGACATGTCCCTTACCTGCGGTGGGTCCTGGTTCCTGGCTGTCTAGGGAGCATCTCTGCAGCCCTTAGGGCAACTATGGCTCTTTTTGTTCCAGAGCTGGGGAGGGGATGGCTACTCATGGTGCCAGCGAGTCTCCAGCTGTCTAAACCAAAAGACTAGCTTTTCAGATCTCTGATCCATTACAGACTGCAGCCACTGTGAAATACAGCAATGGCCTGCTTAAGAAAATGAGACAGGAGATACAAAGGTCGTACAAAACACAGGTCCTACAGATGAGGATGGCTATGGGAAACCATAACCAACCAACCAAAATACAGCTATAGAGCCCAGTGCCAATGAATGCGTCTATAAAACCATGTGCAAACCTCAGGCTCAGGGGACCCTGGGGAAGAAGGCTGGAAGGATGGTAGGAGCCATAGGACAAGGGACTCTGCTGAGAGACTGTGCCTCCTTGAACACCAGAGGCCACACCCACAGTCTCACCAATATGACTGCCCAAACATGAGTTGGACAAGAAGGGTGCCAACAAATATGCCAAACTGGATGGCGGGGATCCCACAAGGCCTCAACCCTACACAAAGAATTAAAACCATCTGAGGAAAGCTGGGAGCAGGGGAGGTAGACTTTCCAGTGTCGATGGGATATCCAGTGCCCAGTGGCCAGCCCTGGAAACATTCATACAAGTAACAGTGTATGGACTCAACAGGCTATAATCGGGACTATATATGTGTGTGAGCGCATGTGTGCGTGCAGCAACAATTTATTGAACAAGAGGCCATGAATTTGAAGGAGAGAAGGGAGGGGTACATAGGAGTTTGGAGGGAGGAATGGGAAAGGGAGAAATATAATTAAATTATAGTCTCAAAAAACCCCCCACCAAACCACACACACACAAAGACCCCCACAAAAACAAAACAAAACAATGTAAAACAACTCAAAATACAGATTCAATACAAATACAAAATACAGGCATGTGTGTGTGCGTGTATGTGTGTGTGTGTGTGTGGTGTGTGTGGTGTGTGTGTGTGTGCGCGCGCCTGTGTGTGCGCGTGTGTGCGCACGCGCGTGTGACACCTTACAAGAATGGAGCATGCCACCGTCACACCTTATCCACTTACCCACTTAGTGTCTCAGCAGACAAGAGAGATTTCTGTTTCTCCCTGCTTATATACTCTCTCTGCCCAGCTAGCTCATTTCCTGTCTGTCTGTACAGACCTCTAGACCTCTATGGTCAGCTAGTGGCAAGCTCCATTCTCTTACCTTCAGATTGGCTTTAATTGTACAAGCAAGATATCACCACATACTGGCAAGAATCTCCACGTAAAACCTGATAAAAGCTTTAAAAAGTGTTCTGAACACACAAACGGAGCTTCATTGGGTCACCTAGCCTTGCGGTGTCGTGCAGGCCATGGTGCAGAGACGCTGTGGCATTTGGGCTTGAACACAGCATGGTGGATTCCCAACCGCGGTACGCAGAGGCCGAGTCTCCAAGCCACAGAGCATGCTGCATGGCAGATTTAGCTTTTACTCATACAGACAGAAAAGGTTTATGGGCAGTGTGCTACAAGCTGATTGATGGCAGCATAAACAAGAGTTGAGTTGGCCAGGCATTGGTGGTGCGCGTCTTTGATCCCAGCACTCGGGAGGCAGAGGCAGGCGGATCTCTATGAGTTCGAGGCCAGCCTGGTCTACAGAGCAAGTTCCAGGCCAGACTCTAAAGCCACAGAGAAACCCTGTCTCGAAAAAAAAAAAAAAGAAAGAAAGAAAAAAGAAAAAGGAAAAAAAAGAGTTGAGTTGATGAGCACAGCTCCCAGAGCTGGCGGTAAACAGGTAAACATGCTCTACGTCACCCCTCCCCCCCACACGCCATGTTGGAAAGCCAGCAGCCAAAAACCTCTGCTTTAATCTTAGCCATCCTGTTTAGCAGATTAAAGACTCAGAAAAAGATGGGGAAATACAGTAAAGACAGATTTAGATAGAGAAAGACCTCTAAAGGGTTTACAGTGTGTTTAAAAATATATGTAGGCTTGGGAGAGAAAAGAAAAAGGATAAAGTCCTTAAAAAAGGAATAGAGTAGCTGGGTGTGGTGGCACACACCTTTAATCCCAGCACTCCTGAGGCAGAGACAGGCGGATCTCTGTGATTTCAAGGCCAGCCTGGTCTACAGAGTGACTTCAAGGACAGCCCAAAACACAACAGAGAACCCTGTCTCTAAAAACCAAAAAATAAAAGTAAAAGAAATAGAGTAACAAAAAAGCCATGTAAGGGTGGAATATAAACAGAGTCTGGATGCTGCATGTTATTGTGTTAACTTTGAATTGTTTGATTGCTGAGGAAGGAGCAGCGGCTGCTAAAAGACATTTGATTATAAATGCTACTGGATTAATTCAACCTATATATTTTGAAAATGTCTTGACTTCAAAATTTAAGTCTAAGGACATGTTACTTTTGCTTTTGTTTCCACAGAAGATGAAAAGCTGTGGATTCCTTCCAGACTAATATGGTTTGATCAAGCAAGACCCCCTGAAGCAGTGGCCAGGTGGTCCAACATCCAAAGCAACTGGAACGATGCAGCCTTGCAGACCGCTACAGCCAGGAGTTGGACACGATTCTGGGTTTCTCAGGATCCCTTTGGGATTGACAGCACCCACAAACAGCAGGAAGCAGTTTGGAAAGAGCTACGCCCACATTCCCAAATACATTCCCAAATATTGTTTATAAATGTTTGTTTTCACTTAAACAGGGCTGGTTATAAATGGTTATGGTCACAGTCAATCTCTTTCTAAAGAAAAAAAGGGAATGTGATATAGAAACGAATACCTTGCTTTGGTATGGATTTTGGTTTATTGATACAAATTTAAGGTCAGTTTTGTTATATGAATATTTCTACTTTTGTTTAGGTATTGTACTTATACAGCTTTTAAAAAATGTAATGTATAATTAAATGCAGACTATAGATAGTCACCTGTAATAGTCAAAACTTATAGTTATGTTAGATTTTCTAGATATACAGATATATATTTCAAATGGATAGGTATTCTTCAAAACCTTTCAAAGACCTACAGAAAATGGCATTTAAAATGGTTTATTAGGGTCTTTCATGACAATTAGACACAACTCCTCCTGGCAATACCAATTATGTCAGAGAGGAAGACAGGCATTGAAGAAACTCGTTATGAAGTTTGCTTCTAACATGGCAAGATTAGCCATTTGGGCAAGAAACTGCTCTTGCCTTTACTGTTTGACTGCTGCTGTAAAAATCGGACATGCAGGACCCACAAGAAAGTGATTGCTGAACTTGCCAAAACAAGATGGGACAGTACTTCAGGATTTCTGCTTCCTGGAAGAGTCTTCCAGACATTCTGCAGGATACAGAAAAATGACTGAGAAACTGCCAATACAGGCAGACAGTTTAAAATTTCTTGCTTTGCTAAGAAGTCTGCCAGACACTCTAGGCTGAAGATGGATGTCCCAACATTACAGAGGAACTTTGGGTGACTGTCCAGGCAGTGAGATGTCTCTGTCAATTCTAGAGTTTATATATTATCCTTCTGTGGTCATTGATGGAGTTGAAGACAGATAGTTATAGTTATGGTTTCCTTAGTTATGATAAAACATAAGGCACATATAAAATTTAGACTCACAAAGATAGGATAAAATTTCTTTAAATTTTGCAAAATGTTAGTAGACTAAATATTGTTAACTATAGTTCTTGCTTGAAAACTGTTTTGTTATATATAATTTTGCTATGTTAAAGTTAAAACCTTCCTTTTATTTAGAAAGAAAAGAGGAGATGATGGGGGATGTATTTGTGTATGCTGTGATTATATGTTTCTCTTATTGGTTGATGAATAAATGCTGATTGATCAGTAGTCAGGAAGTATTGGTGGGGCTACCAGATTAGTAATGCTGGGAAGAGGAACACACACACACACGCATGCACGCATGCATGCACACATGCACCCACCCACACACACACACTCAGAGAGAGAGAGAGAGAGAGAGAGAGAGAGAGAGAGAGAGAGAGAGAGAGAGAGAGAGAGAGAGAGAGAGGGAGGGAGAGAGGGAGAGAGAGAAAGAATATCGGGGAAGATGCCACGTAGCTGCCAAAGGAGTAACATGCTGGAGCATTACGGGTAAGCCACAGCCTCATGGCAACACATAGTTTGTAAAGAGAGAAGCCTTCCCGGCAGCCTGGTTCCAGAGCCACATCAGTCACAAATGAACACACAGGACGCTATATTAATTATGAAGCTATTGGCCTTGCTTGCTTCTTACTCGCTACCTCTGACTTAAGTATTTATCCCATAGTTGCTAATCTAAGTATTTCTCTTACTGGAGAGGTTTCCGGGCTTCCTACCCCATGGCGTTACATCTTGACTTCCTGAGTTTCTCCTACCCAGAGTCCTCCTGGATTCCTAGTCCCACCTATCTTGGTTCCCTATTGGCCAACAGTGTTTTATTGACATATACACAGGACTTCCCCCATCAATAGTTTAATAGAAATGGGTTAATAATTAAGAGAGACCTAGCCAATAAGACGCATGAGCCAGGCTGGGTGTTGGTGGCGCATGCCTTTAATCCCAGCACTCGGGAAGCAGAGGCAGGCGGATCTCTGTGAGTTCGAGGCCAGCCTGGTCTACAAAGTGAGTTCCAGGACAGCCTCCAAAGCTACAGAGAAACCCTGTTTCGAAAAACCAAAAAAAAGAAAAAAAGAAAAAGAAGCATGAGCCACTGGCCCAAACAGTTTATGATATAAGCCTCTGTGTGTTTGTTTGGGACTAAACAGCCATGGGACCAGGTGAGACAGAAGCTCCGTCTTCACCACCTCTGCTAATTTCTGCTAATTTCTGCCTGTGCAGCTTTAGCTGAAGTGGAAGACCAGCTCCTCTGTCCAGCTGTGGCATGACCTCTGCCCAGGGCTGTAGGAATGTATACTTGGGTCTTGTTTTTTTGTTTGTTTGTTTGTTTTCTTTCTAGATTGTTCAGAGTGATGCTTGGCTCCTTTTGCTCCCTCGTGGCTTTTTCTCCTCAGATGTGGCATGTCCCCCTCATGAAAGGATTGCAAGAATAACGCAAATGACAAATGATGGGATGTCTCTGGTTCCTTCTCAGGTCACACCAACCTTCATTCTGCACCAAATCCTCACCCCATGCCCTCTCCTCAGGAAGTGCGTGCTGTGGGGTTAGGGAAGAAGGGTCCCTGCTAGGATGTGGGGGTGGCATCTTGGTCCTGCTACAGAGACTCAGTCCTGGGTTCTCTCCATCCCCATCATGTGCCTTTTTCCTCAGGGGAAAAAAAAGTGAGCATCTTCAGTCAGTCGATGCCCCCATCAGGCTCATAATCACTCCGGCCTGTTTCATTCCTGTGGGACCTCACGGTCTTGCTGCTGTTAATCCCACCGACGGAGAATAAGAACATTAGCACAGTTTAAAGCCAAATTTGAAGCAAACTTTAATTGAATACTGGCCAGGTGGTGGTTCCGGGGAAATGGCCCAGAGTCGAAGTTTGCAGCTGGTGAAGAAGAAAAACCCATAATTCATTGCATTTCTCACCAGGTCCAATCAGGGGCAAGCACTCATCCTGGCACATTTCCTGCCTGTGAACCTGCGGCCCACATGTGATCAAGCACATCCTGTGCGGATGGGTCAAACGAACTTGTTTAAAGGAGTGAAAACACGTGGCTTGTTACCTCCCATAAACAACGGCCTCCAGCATTTCAGGAACTGTCTGTCCTCGGACAAGGAGGGGCTTGCAGATCAGAGACTTTTTTGTTTGTTTGTTTCTTGGATCTCTCAGGGGTAATAATTAAAACTTGAAGTGTAACTTGGGTCTCACACTGCCTATTCTGCTTAGTTTTGTTTACAAAATTAAGACTTGTGTTTCATTATGAGTATGTGTCTAAGTGTGCCTACGAGTGCAGGTGTCCGTGGCTGAGTCACCTGAGGTGGGTTCTGGGAACTGAAGTCTGGAAGAGCAGGATGCGCTCTTAACTGTGGAGCCCATCTCCAGCCCTTGCTGGATAGTTTTAACTGGGAGGAGAATCTTTTTTTGGGGGGGGGGTTTCAAGACAGGGTTTCTCACAGCAGCCCTGGCTATCCTGGAGGTAGCTCTGTAGACCAGGCTGGCCTTGAACTCACGGAGATCCACCTGCCTCTGCCTCATGAATGCTGGTAATTAAAGGCAGCAGACACCACTGCCACCTGTGAGGGCTGTGAGACTATACAGCAGTGACAATTAGTATTTAACAAGTGACCCAACAAGACATTGTTGGAGTCCTGCTTGCCAAAGCTGACTCATCACACATTCTTGGGGACCCCCACTTGGCAAAGTTGTGGGGTTACTGACTGGATGACCAGTTAGTTGTTCCTGGAACTTTCTCAGGGATCACTGCAGTGTTTCCCTAATAAGAACTCTCCAACAGCATCCGGGGGTCAATCTTAAATACTAGGTGTCACCGCTGTACAGTCCCATGGCCCTCAGCAGCCACCAGCCTGGGGAAGAGACGTTTAATGAGGTTTTATCTGGGTCACTTTGGCCTGCAGGCATGTCTCGGGTTGTCTTGATTGTTAATTCATTTAGGAAGATTGTCCTGGCTAGGGTTATCATTGCTGTGGTGAAACACCAAGACCAAAGGCAGCTTGGGGAGGACAGGGTTTATGTCACTCATAGCTCCACACAGCAGGTCATCATCAAGAGCAGTGAGGACAGGAACTCAGGCAGGGCAGGAGCCTGGAGGCAGGAGCTGATGCAGAGGCCATGGAGGGGAGCTGCTTTCTGGCCTGCTCAGCCTGCTTTCTTATAGCACTCAGGGCCACCAGCCCAGGGATGGCACCGCCCACAATGGGCAGGGCCCTTTCCCATCTATCGCTAATTAAGAAAATACCTTAAAGGCCTGCCTACAACCTGTTTTTGTTTTGTTTTGTTTTGTTTTTTTTGACAGGGTTTCTCTGTATTGCTTTGGAGCCTATTCTGGAACTCACTCTGTAGACCAGGCTGGCCTCGAACTCACAGAGATCCGCCTGCCTCTGCCTCCTGAGTGCTGGGACTACCGCCAATGCCTGGCTACAATCTGATTTTATGGAGGCATGTTCTTTCTCTCTCTCTCTTTCTTTCTTTTTCTCTAGACAGGGTTTCTCTATAGCTTTGGAGTCTGTCCTGGAACTCTCTGAGGATCAGGATGGCCTTGAACTCAGAGATCCACCTGCCTCTGCCTCCTGAGTGCTGGGATTAATGACATGCACCACCACCACCACCACCTGGCGGAGGCATTTTCTTAATTGAGGCTTCCTTCTCTCAGATGACTCTAGTTTGTGTCAAATTGACTTAAAACTATCCAGCACAAAGACTCAGCCTGTGTAGGGAATCCTGAATAGTACAAGAGAGGAGAAAGCTAGTTGAGAAAAGCAGGCAAAGGTGAACACGTTCTCTCTGCTCTCCACTGCGTAGGACTTGCTGCTTCACATTCCCAAAGCAATGGACGACACAACCTGGAACTGTAAGCCACGTTAGCCATTGCTCACTACATTGCTTTTCTGTTCACTTGAAAAAGATGTCTATAACCTTAAATTTTTATCATCATTTAAAGATGCGTAACAACTTAGAAATGTCTGAGACAGCACCGTTGAAATCAAATTACATATAGGGAGTAAGCTTACATTCATGTATATGAGGTTAAATTTAAATCGCATGTACAGAGACACACAGACATATGAAACAGGACTGGGAAATAGTAAGAAGAAGGGGAGAACCAGAGTATGAGCTCTGATTTCCATGTTGTAGCAAACAGACAGGGCATTTAAAGAGGCAGAGTAGACTTTAAACTGCCAGTGTCAAGAAAGCAGCGCCGGGCGTTGGTGGCGCACGCCTTT